TGACGAACTCGGCGTTTGGGGCCCTCATGTTTCTTCTGGATTTCTCATGAACCCACACGGATATCTGCCCAATTCAACGGTAAACCATGAATGAATGTTCGCGGGGGGATACGATTCATCAGCCGTAGGAAAACACACAAAATCGGACACTGTAAATTTTTTTTTTAATGTAAAATTCTGACTAATTCTGTGGTCAGTTGCAAAGATGAGGGATACTGAGTCGTGGCAGAGCACTAGCTTCGTATTTAGCTGCGCAGAGCTCAAAATTCTGTCCACGGGGAGGTTTTGAATTCGAAGAATGGGCCGCAGATAGGGGGTTGATCCAAAAAGCCCGGAAGCGGACCCGGCCCGTCGTCGCCCGGGCCTGCCGCCGGGCCCGGAACCCGGCAAAACTCCGGGTCAGGCCGGGCCGGAGTCGCCGTTGGCAAACCTGTCCGGGCCCGGCCGCGAGCCCGGTGAAGCAGTGCCAAAAATGGCACTGTTCTTCGAATGCCGGCGCCGGCCCGGCCCGGCCCGCCATAACGGCACAAGCGTGACCGGTTGCCAGGGCCGGGCGGCGCCAGCCCGGCCGAACGGTCACGAGGTGACCGTTTGGCCGGGCCGGCCCGGGCGCCAAGCCGGCCCGGCCCGGCCATAACGGTCACAAAGGTGACCGTTGCCCAGCCCGGCCCGGGCCAAATCTGGCCTAACGGCCAGATTTGGTCTTTTGACCGTTTTGCCCCTTAAAACGGTCAAAAAACGGCTATTTTTCGAGGGTTTTTTGGTCATTTACCTAGGGGGCTGCTTCTATAAATAGAGGGGGGGTTTCAATTCATTTTCTCACAACAAAACTCATCTATTTCTCTCTCTACTACTCTCTTATACAATCTTATACTATCTCATACTAATATACTATCCTATAATCTTTTGTATTTTCTAATACTTCCAACAAATGGCTTCTGGGTCTGATTATGAAGAGCAACATGCAACTCCTACCGATCCAGAGATGAGTCCTCCTACAACAACTCCTCATCCTACCGGTGTTAATCCTGAATCTGGTGGCGACGAATCTACGGCACCAAGAGCTCCAAAAAGGCCGAGGTCTGATGTATGGAATTTTTTTGAGAAGATAGACGTCACCAAGGATGAACACGGTAGGATCATCTCTCAGAATGCGAAATGTGCGTTGTGCGGCCAGATATTCAAAGCTCATCATAAGAGCGGCACCAACCATCTCAAACGGCATATTGAAAAACACAACAAAGGCCAAAATCTACAAGGTGATATCCGGCAGTCTATGCTTTCCCAATCATCCTCTTCAGGTACCCTCGGCAGTTGGAATTATGACGCTGCCCGAGCCCGGAAATGCGTAATCAGGTTTATTGTTCTTAAAAACCTTCCTTTTAAATTAGTAGAAGATGATGAATTTGAAGATTTATTTAGAGATGGTTTTTATCCTGCATTTACAAAATTTTCTCGTCAAACCTGTCAACGTGATATTTTAAAATATTATGTTGAGGAACAGGGAAAAATAATTTCTTATTTTAAAAATTTAAACTGCAAATTTTCTTTAACTTCTGATATTTGGTCATCTAGAGTGCAAACTGGTTATTTATGTATAACAGCACACTGGATTGATGAAAGTTGGAAAATGTTTAAAAGAGTTGTTTCTTTTATTGCAATTGAAGAGTCACACACTGGTATTAATGTTGCAAATTTAATTGTTGAAGAACTTATGAAACTAGAAATTGATCAAAGAATATTTACTCTTTCACTAGATAATGCAAGTAATAATAATGTAGCTGTTGATTTTCTGAAAATAACTTTGTCATTGCCATGTCATGGTGAGCTTTTTCATGTTAGATGTATCTGTCATATTTTAAATTTAATTGTTCAAAGTGCATTTTCTGAAATTAAACCCATGATAGAAAAAGTTAGAACAGTTACTAATATGCATAATGCTTCTGAAATGAGAATTAAAAGATGGAAACAATGTTGTAAAAGAAAAAATTATAAGCCTAGACTAATTCCAAAAGATGTTGACCATAGGTGGAATTCCACCTATGCAATGTTATCTGTAGCAATAGAATATAAAGAAATTATAAATGATTTTATAAATTTTTATGCTTCTAGTTCTAGCTCTGGTAGTGCTTATGGAATAACTGAAGATGAATGGACAGTTATATGTAAATTAAATGAGATGTTACAAGTTTTTTATGATGCTACTATGTTATTATCTGGTTGTTATTATCCAACTATTACTTTAGCTGCTTTACAAATTTTAAATATTCAAAAAAATTTTACAAAATATCGTATGGATGATATTTTTGGAAGTATAATTTTTGAAATGGAGAGTAAATTTAATAAGTATTTTAGGCCTATTCCTCATATTTTTGGTATTGGTGTTCTTATTGATCCATGCTTGAAGGAAATTGGCCTTCGAAGTTTGTTACAATCATTGTATGGTGGACAGATTATAGACTTAGATGATGGATCCACCCTTACTGCTACTACTCATTATTTAGCTATTAGAAATTATTTTCAAACCTTATATGATGAGTATGCAGCTAGATATGGTGTAGCTACACAACAGTCTTCAGCTTCGGCACCTTCAGCTTCGAGCACAGGTCGAGGTAAAAGTGTAAGTTTTGATAGGTATGCAATGGTAGCTGAACTAACTGGTGGATCTGGAACTTCATCAGGATTAGATGTTTCTGAAATAGATGAATATTTTTCTGCTTCTTTAGTTAGATGTCAAGGAAATGCTTTAGATATTTTGCAATGGTGGAAAGTATATGGATCAGTTTCATATCCTATACTTTCCACCATGGTTCGTGACTTACTATCAGTGCAGGTTTCGACTGTAGCCTCGGAATCCGCTTTCAGCACAGCAGGACGTTTGATCGACGACCACAGGACATGCTTAGATCCGTATACTGTACAAGCGGTGATGTGCTTACAGGATTGGTGGAGATACGAGAAGCGAACACAAGGCATCGAACGGATTGCTATGATTGAAGATAAATTTGAAGAGTTGGGACTAGCAGATAGATATAATGATTAGATAATATTCATAAAATTGTAATTTTTATTTCTTAGCTTTAAATTTGAATTAAATTATTTCGAAAAAAGTTGCAAATGATAGTGATATGGGTGAGTAGGTGCCAACCTAGTTGGGATGTACTCATCTATTGTGATGCGACGAATTTCGAAATAAATTTATACTTGTAAAGGATTTACCGATTATTAATAAAGAAGTTATTTTTATCATTTTTTGTACTTGTAATTTATGTCATTTCATTTCAAGTTATTAATAAAATTTATGACATTTTTTATAATAATTTATAATTTATGGTTTTGTTAAAATTTAAAAAAAATAAAAAAAAACAAAATTTAAAAAAAAAAACAAACCGGGCCGGCCCGGTGTCCGGCCCGTTGTTGTTGTGTTAAATGATGATGATTGACTCATCGAATTTCCAATCAAAGCGCGAGACATCGTTAAGTGCTGTGCTCAAAAGTAGTGCTGATGGAATGGAATTAATATATTCACCGAGGCATCAACAGATTAAAAATTCATAGCGCCACGTAACTAATGGTTTTCCACCAAATAAACAAGAAAGAGAGGGGCTACTCAAAAAAACAAAAGAAGGGAGAGAGAGAGAGGGAAGGAAGGAAAGAGACGGTGCTCTTTCAGCGATCTCTACATATACATATTTAACAACAAAAGTTATCTCTACCCAGCGTGCTGAGTTCAACACGGTGTACATAATAATTAAACATCATACGACAATCCTTTCGACGCATTTACCAGCAAAAGAAAAGAAAACAGGGAGGGCATAAAATATCCAGTAGGCCATGACATACAGAGCCGCATGCGGAGGAGGAATTTTTAAAAGGGGGTAGGGGGGGGGGTTTAAGCAGTCTGAGAGGCTTTAAGCATGGGAGGAATAGAAGCTTTGTGGTTGAACAGCGCATCGAGTTAGTAACTGCCGAATCCATCCAGTCGACGGACACCTGAGACGGACTGGAAACAGATCAGAGCGGAAGGAGCTGATCGAAGATGAGGTAGTCGCGAGGAGAGCACTGCCCTTCGCTTTGGTGATGGTGAGGGCAGAGGTTCCTTCTTTGTAGAATCTCCCTTTGGGGAGGAGGCTGCTATGCTCACAGTAGGAGCCATCTCAGTGATGCTATGCGTTTTCTTCTTTCTTTTAACAGGTTCTCTATGCTTGTAGATATACATACATATATATACATGCGCACTAGGGACGGTGTGTTCTGGCTTTCTGGAAGAAGGATAATGCTCCTTTTTTTCTCTGTCCATATCCACCTAAACATTTATCTGATATTTGTTTAATCTTACTCTATTTCAAATTATTCCCTTTTTATTACTTTATAGTCAGGGAATACCATAAACTGGGGTCACTAACTCATATAAAGAACATGAAGAAAGAGGTGCTGAAAAAAAAAAACAAAAATGATTTCTCAAGTGAAGTGACAGATCAGTAATTATCTTCAGAGACGTTTTTTTGTAAATGTGGCCAATTGAGTTGGACCAAGTCTTAACCCCCAACAGGTGAAAATTCTATTCTCAATCGAAATGTATGAGGGGGCACTGCACATGAAGACAGAGACATCAAATTAGAGAATATCAATCATACGAGTTTAGGCCAACTTTAATATGAGGTGTAAAAAGCAGCAAAGAAGTGCATAAACACCCCTCAAAAGTTCTTTTTTTTTTTTTGAAAAGTTATTCTATTCTTTTTTTGGAAAAATTACTTCAAGCCCCTAAA